ATTGACCTTTCAAATCTTTCCTCTCAGTACAGAGGTTTGAAGTTTTTACTGTGTATTAGGTAAGTAAGAGAAAGAAAAGTTAGCCAGGTGTGGTAGTGCCCAGCTGTAACCCTAGCACTCAGGCGGCTAAGGCAGCAGAGGTTCACTGAGTTCAAGGCCAGCCCAGGCCACACAGGGAGACCCTTTCTCAAAACAAAACAACAAAACAAAACAAAACAAAAAGTTAAAAAAAATTACTAGCAGCTAAACTTCAGACACTGATGATCGACATCTGATAACACATTATTACTAGAACATGGACAAGCAATATTAACATCACTTTTCCTTTCTTCCCATTGTTGTCCTAATCTCTCAAGCCTGGCAGTAATACCCATCAGTATTAACTGGTCCTTCAAGTAATGGCAAACCCTAAAGATTTTGAATCCTCTGCTTTAGAATAAATTTTTTGTTTGTTTTGAGACAGGGTCTCATTTTGTAGGGCAGGCTGGCTTTGAACTCACTTTGTAGCCCACACTGGCCTCAAAACCACAGCAATCCTCCTGTTTCAGCCTCCAGAGTGCTGGGATTACAGACATGTGCCACTACACCATCCGGCTCAGCATTTTTTTTTTTTAAAGTTTATTCTCTTCTGGTCCTGGTAGTGCAGGCCTGTAATCCCCGAGTTTGGGAGGGTGAGGCAGGAAGACTGCCACAAATTGAAGGCCAGCCTTGGCTACATAGTGAGTTCAAAGCCAGCCTGAACTATAGAGAAAACTCTGATTCCAAAAAGGAAAAAAAAATTAAATTAAAAACTACTGTTAATTCTGTATATTTAAAATATTACCATAGATGTTAAAAAGATCAGAAAGTACATGCCTAAAATCCACATCATGAGTCTTTCAAAAATTCAACATATTAATACAACTACTGAAATAAAAGATATGAAAAGCTACCTATTTTCCTACTAATTATAAATTCATTCTTTTTTTTTTTTTTTGTCTTTTTTGAGATAGGGCCTCAATACGAAGTTTAGACTGGCCTTGAGATCACTGTGTAGCCTCGAACTCCCAACGATCCTCCTGCCTGAGCCTCCCAAGTGCTCATGAATCATGTATATAGTGGGACTATAGAAGTGTGCCACCACACCTGGCTTCGTTTTGGTTTGAATATAGTCATTTTTGAGAAAATAGCTGAGATTAACAAATGCATTAAGAAATAAGGAGTCCAAATTGATTAAAAAAAAAAAAAAAAGAAAATAGCTGAGAAAACATTACACACACCCCCACACACACCATATATACACAAACACTATATACAATTTTTTGACAGTTCTGGGACTGGACCCAGGGTCTTCTCAATGAACTACGTATGCAGCCCTCAGCCCCCCTTTTCACAGTGGTAAAGTTTTTTTTAAAGTAAAACTGAAGAATGAGGGAGAAACTGGCTGTGCATAGCAGCCTTGGACCAAGTAAAAGAGGAAAAAGCAAGCTTAAAGTACACCCTTGAGGACCCAGGGCAGGCTATTGTGAAGAAAGCCACAACTGCCCCAAGCCCTTTTTTAATATTGTATTTGACACAGGGCGCCACTAATTCACTAAATTGTAGTCTTAAACTTGTGTCCCTCCTACCTCCGTCTCCCAAAGTGCTGGTATTAAAAGTACTCATCAGGACACCCAGCTCTGTGATGTTTATGTTCCGAAGTAGTAACAGGGCTGGGAATGTGGCTCCATGGTACAGCTTGTGCTTGACGAGTATGAAACCTAGGCTGAATCTTTACCACCAAAATTAAATTAAATAACATACAGCCACAACATTTATCATTTGTTCCAGACTATCTGATCATTAAATTTTTTTTTTAAACGGAAAAAAAGAGCCAGGGACATAGCTCAGTGGCACAAGCGCCTGCCTGGCAAGCACAAGGTCCTGAGTTCGATTTCCGGTACCAAAAATAAAAATGAAACAGGAGAAAAGGAATCAAATTTCTATATACTACTTCTGAATATTAGCTTTATGTGTACACATTTGTTGAGGACTAATTTTTTTTTTTTTGGGGGGGGGGAATCGAACTTAGGACCTTGCCTTCGCCAAGCGTTTGTGCCACTGATATCCCCAGCCCCTGAGGACTAACTCTAACATAAAAATTATTTCTAAATTTTTCCTTCATAAACACAGAAAACCGTTTTCCAAGATTACAAGTTTAAGTAGCTCGGGTGTTCCAGGGCCACTCACACGGTGGCGTGTCTGCCCCGCCCCGGGAGCCTCTTTCCTCGGCCCCAGCTTGGGGTAGGTGGGGACGGCTTCAGAGGCGACCGGCCAGCTCGCGCGTCCTCAGGACTGTGGCAACCGCGGACCCAGTGCGGGCGAGCCCGACCTGGCCGTGGCCGGGTTTCCGGGACGAACGGAGGTTGCTGGAGCGCTCATCGACCGGAGCGGTCCGAACGACCATGCACACTGCCGGGAGCACGCGCGCCCTTCGCGTGCGGCCGAAGCTTCGCGCCTACCATTGGGACGACGTGCACGACTGCCGGCCGCTGCGGACGGGTCACGGGCTGCTGTGGGAAACACACGGGCTCAAGAAGGGTCACCAGGTGCCCATGGCCTTGGCACAAAAAACGAAACAAAACCCCGCGGACACAGTAAGCTTTTGAGACCTCTGCTAAAGATCCTAAGGAGAATGACCACGCTTCTTAAAAAGTCACAAACCACTGCTGGTTAGCCAAGCTCTTGATAACGCAACCATCCTGACGCCTGCGGCGAAGCGTGCAAGGACGGGCCGGTGCTCAGTGAGTCCTTTTTACACCAATTCTGACTAAAGAAAAAACTTTCAGTATGACAGTGACAAGTCATAAAGTTTAATCTCAAATATAATGGATCGTCCTAATACTTTATTATTCCTGTTTTATATATAATCGTTTGTCACTGCGACACCACCAGTGAAAAGTTGATTTTCGCTTGAGATTGAGAAGAAAGCTGCAACGAATCTGAACATCTTTTCGCTTGAGATTGAGAAGAAAGCTGCAACAAATCTGAACATCTTCCCATGTAGCACCCGAGGTGGGAGACCTGGGGGCACCGGGAACGCCAGGGTTGCACCTGCCCCGCCCGCTCTCCGGGGACAGAGACGGTGTTCAGTGCACACGTGCTGCTATGTAAGCCTGATCTGAAAGGGGATAAAGCGACTTAAGGTCGTTTATGTTTTATTTTGGTGTCTTCTAACAGCGCAGAAGTAGTTCAGAGTATCTGAGCAGCTCTAACTTTGGGGAGAATTGGTGACGTGGGTCTTGGTGTCTCCTCTCTCCTCACCCCTAATCGTTTTAGTGACTAAGTGTTGGGTTAAATCAGCTTCCATTTGGATGTAGCTCTTTGGGCTTCACTCGGATTCTTAATCTATGTGTATTTTCTGGAACAGCATTATCAGTTTCTATATGGTCACAACAAAATAGTCCTCCTCAGTATGAAAAATAAATTAAAACTGAAACATATTATGTCTGACCCTCAGTGATGAAAATACTTCAACCTTTTGGCCTTTTATTTTGAATTTAAGACTGCACACAAAAAAATAGCATGCTTGCATATGAAGGTATTTATTTACATGAATGGACTGTGAGCCATGTACTTTGTGGCTGTGTTACATTCACTGAATTGAAGTTTGCTGTCCTTCATAATTTTAGAGGAAATTAAACCCAAAGATGATTATACTTAAAGTATTTTCAGAAATGTGGGAAACCAGTTACGCATATAATCTAGTTTAGGAATTTTGTTTAATCATTATGGTGGTCCTAAATGGATAATTTAGTTATAAAAACAAACACAATTCTATTAAATAAACTAATTGAAAATAGTAAATATAAATATTCAAATTTAAGTATCAGGGCTCAAATTGGCTTCATTAAGCAGATTAATCCATTTTTTAAATCATGCTAGAATCAACATTGTTTTACTTTTATGTAAATTAACATTATTTGTAACTATTTTTATGACAGGTATAGTAACTGTGATGGGCGTGATAGTTTTTTAAAGAAGGGACTCTGAGGGTTGGGGGTATAGCTCAGTGGCACAGTGTCTGCCTGGCAAGCAGAAGGTCCTGAGTTTGATTCCCGGTAAAAAAAAAAAAAAAAAGAAGAGACTCTGAGCCTGGGGAGGTGGCCCATGCCTATAATCCTAGCATGGGCCACCTCTCTAGCACCTGACTTTTAAAGCAACAGAAGCCAGGGAATATAGACAATATATGGAATTTGGGGTTTCCTTACTAAGACTCTTGTGGACTAAAACATGGACAAATTTTATAATATTCTAGGTACTAGAAAAGTATACACAGTATATTTGTTGGAAACAACGCTACCTCTCTACAGTAGCAACTTTTTCTTTTTGGAGGCAGGGTCTCACTCTGTAATTCAGACTGGCCTTGAACTTACTATGTAGCCCTGGCTGGCCTCAAACTCACAGTGATCCTCCTGCCTCAGCCTCCTGAGTGCTGGGATTACAGGCATGCACCACAACACGTGGCTTATAACAAACTTAATTTTTGTATCTTTAACTATTTTTTAAATCTATCTGACTTACTAATTTCATAGAGACGTGAAAAAAATCCTAGCACTGCAGATATAGATCTCACTATTTTCCTTCTAAGTTTAAAGTTGTCTATCTTATTCAGAGGACAGACTGTTGGTTAATAACTGCTTTACAAATTGGAGTATTTATCTTTAAAAATGCTTTTGGTTACATCTTCAACCCTATATTTTATTTTGAATTTAGTGTAATAATGCAGAAGTCTCTGCCATTTAACAATGGAGCTCAATAGCTTTCTATTTGTTCTGATTACTGACGTATTTTTTAAAAGTCCTTTAAATTACTTAGTAATTTATGCTTCTGAACAACAAAACGCTTCTAGGTCACCTTTTTGTTTGTTGAGACAGAGTCTCACTTTGTAATGCAGGCTGGCCCTGAATCCACTATATACCTCAGGGTGGCCTCCAACTCACAGTAATCCTCCTATCTCAGCCTCCCCAATGCTGGGATTATAGGCGTGCGCCACCACACCCAGATCTGGCTAGTTTTAACCTTTACTATATCCTCCTGTTATCTAGAATTTTACCACTACTTTGGTTTAAAAAGTAGATTTCCGGCTTCGTCATTTGCCCTGGAGGTCGCCCAACCACTCTGCCCCTGCTTGTCCAGGCTCGCGACCCTGTGCCAACGGCCTTCGGGTCTTCAGTAACCGCCCGTGATGCCACTGGCGCACGGCGGGCGGGGGCGGTGGGGTTCCAGTGTCCTACAAGCCCCGGGGCGGCCCCATTCCGGGGAGGCGAGCCCTGCACACACCACCCTAGGCCCTTGACTGCTGGGACCAATCAAGGCCAGACTCGAGTTCCGGGAAGGCGCCACCTCTGTACCAAGCCACAGTGGAGAAGCAAGGGGACCCATAGCGCCGCTCCTGGATTCCAAAGGAGCCCGGGCAGCCCCTGCGACAGCAGCCGAAGCCGCACCATCCCCTGGCCTCCCCCGCCCACCCCGCGCCGGACACTACGCCGCCGCGAGGCCACAGAAGACGATTTCCGCAGTCCGCAGTCAGAAAGTGCTCGAACCGCCTGTGCAGACCACAGCTCTCAGCGCGGCTACGGCGGAAAATGTTTCCTGGCTGCCCTGAGAAGACGGAGTACGCTATGCCCTGAGAAGACGGAGTATACTGTCCCGCGCGGCGGAAACGCGCGCCTAGAAGTGACAGAGCGCGTCCAGAATGGCCTCGGCCCTTGAAAGCATCACGAAGTTTCCTGGCAGCTGTAGATACTGTGAAGAACACTTTTTTTTCAAATGAGATATTACAAATCTTGTAAGAAGCATCAGGGTAAGTACGGTTTCTTCTATGATTTCAAATTTTCAGAGTTCTCAAGATTCTATAGATCACAGTAATAGGAGTGAAACATCCACATCAGATACCACACAGACACTTACCAAGAGGAACACGAGTTCTTCTGGGCATCCCACCTTCAGGTGTCCCTTGGGTCAATAGTCTAGTTTTACCACTCAGCCCTTAATGGATCACTGCACTAGTACAGCCATCACCTATTTCAGATGGCTCCTATGTGTGTCTTCCTTGGAGAGACCTAACTAGATTACTAGACACATCATTAGTCAGCTAAATCAAAGACATCAGTTTGATTATGGAGAATTTGTGAATCTCCAGCTAGATTAGAAAACCCTGTACCAAACTGGTGTTGAAGAATCTTTTCAAGTAGTATCTATAGTCTGTAAACATCTCTGCATTTTTGTACCTGCAACTGCCATCTTTAAAGGGAAAACTATATGAAGTCATCATTTCAATAACTTGATAGGTGTATTAATAAAATTTGGTCTAAGGTTTTAGATTAAAAAATAACAGTAGGCCACCTATAATTTTTTACTTCATCCTCTTGACAAGTTAAAAGAGGAAAATTACAATATTACTTTAAAAGCACAAAAAGGATTATATTTTACTAATGTAGTAAATGTAGTGGCCGTACTTTGTTTTTTATATTATTGGACTTTTCATTAGGTTGCTTTTAAAGTTTGGTACAGCTCCTCCTATTTACAGTATTGTACATACACACAGGAGCAAATTTTGAAAGATGTGATTGATGTAAACCTAACAGATCTGAACCAGTTGTCAAGAGTTGCAGAATGGAAACATAAAGTGTTAAATGGGATAATCCAAAGGAAGATATCAGAAATACATTCTAGATGAAGAATTCAACTATAAGAAAACAGTACTTTTACAGTTTAGTATTTCTGAAAATCACTGAAATTTTTCTTTAGTAATTAAACTTTAAAAACTGAAAGCTCATTGTGAAGATACTTCCTTTTTGCTATTAGAAGGAAACATCAAGAAAAAAATGTATTAGGTGGACATTTCAATTTTATTTGACTAATTTGTAAGCCTGACATGTAACAAGCTGCAGAGCAGTTCTTTGGCCTCAGAATTTTCAATAGCCAATGTTCCTCAACAGCTGAGATGAAACTTTTACTAGAATCTTTCAGTTGGTAGTATATTCTACAGATGCACCTAAATTATTTTTAAAAAATGCATTCAAAGCTAATGATGTATATGCAGACATTTTTGTATGTATATATACATATATACTTTACATATACATCTTTGCATGCATCTTGTCAGGCTATATACAGAATTTCTATTAAGGATCTTAAAAATGGAAACAATGTAAGAGGGAAGTGTTTATCATTTGCTTAAATTTTTATAGCTCACTGAATTTTTAAAATATAACAATCAAATGTTAACTGGAATAGCTGGCTTCTGTTATACCTTAAAATTTGAGCTTACACATAGTTATCTGTATATGGTGTTCATTTATTACTCTCAAATAATGTGTAGATGATAGATTTTCTAATCAGCTACTATTTCATTACTTTTTAGTCAAAATAAACTTTGTTCTTAATATTCAGTAATGGGAATCCTCAACTATTTTGTAGAAGGACCAAATTACAGAATAAAAGATGAACAGAAGAACTGCTGACATTCCAAACTAATGTACAATAGTTATGCTTTATTTAAAATAACTAAAATAACTTAAAAGAAAATCTCAGAAGTAGTTTGCTGCTAATATATATTACATAAAAAGATACATTTTGTTTATTCTAAAATCCTTGTTTTCTATAGTGAACATTTCTACCTCAAAAATTTAGTGCTTTAAAACCAGCTTCTTTGCTTACCGTCGTTTTTTGCACCCCACATCGTCCTCCAGGACTCCATTTGCTGACCAGTGTGCAGATTCTTCAGCGGTTTTTGGCAAGGATCTGACAGTGTAAGCTATTTACTCTTTGTAGCTCTGAAAACATTCTTCCTTCTATGGACTAGTAATTGAGTACAGAATTCTACACTGTGTCATTTTCTCTCAGTATCTTGAGGCTATTACTACTTTTCATTGCCTCTTATGATTTATTATTGATGAAAATGTCAAAACTTTGATGGCTGTTCCTTTGCAGATAACACATTTCATTTCCCCCCTCTAGTAGCTTTTATTTTTTTTAATTTTATTTTTTTGTCTTTTTGAGACAGGGTTTCACTATGTAGTTCAGGCTGGCATTGAGTTCACTTTGTAGCCCAGACTGGTCTCGAACTCGCAACAATCCTCCTGCCTCAGCCTCCCGAGTGCTGGGATTACAGGCGTGCGCCACCACACCCGGCTCTAGTAGCTTTTAAAACAGTAGTTTTCTTTAACCTTAAGATTCTTTTTCTTTTTTTTTTTTTGGGGGGGGGTACCGGGAATCGAACTCATGACCAGGCAGGTGCTTATGCCGCTGATCTATATCCCCAGCCCAACCTTAAGATTCTATAGGCTGATTTGTTCTGTTTTGTAATTGATAGGATTTTTCAATCAAGGATTCACGTCTAGCTTCAACTTCAGAAAATTCTACATCATTACCTTTTCAAACACTGCCCATTTTCCTCAATTTCAATCATGTCCTTTGGGAACACTTATTAGATGCACAGTGGAGCCTTTCAATGTATTTTCTTTCTCCTTTGTTCTTTTACATATTTCTTGTTTTCTGCCTCTGTGCTACACTATACTATTTCATGTTTTACTTTCTAATATACTAACTCATTCACTAATTCAGTCAACAGTGTTTATCTATATATTAATTCCCAACCTCACCAAACTTTGTTTTACTGCATATACTGTACACCTGTGTGATTCACTACCAGCTTTTATTTTTCCACACTATTTCATGCCTATTTGTCACAGTTTAAAACAGCATTTTCCCTTCAACACTGGGGACTGAGTCTAGGGCTTTACATTGGGCTATATCCCAAGTACTATTTTATTTTATTTATTTTATTAATTGAGACAGGATCTCACTAAGTTGTCCAGCTGGGGCTCAAATCTGTTATCTCCTTGCCTCAGCCTTACACAGTGCTAGAACTGTAGGTGTACACCACCACACCTACCTAAAATAGCACCGTGTATTCCTGTAATCCTAGCACTCTGGGTGGCTGAGGCAAGAGGACTGACTCTAAATTCAAGCCCAGTATAGGCAATGTAGTGAGACCAGCTCAGAATTCATAAACAGATTCTGAAGATTAATGTATTTTATTACAATTTCCCTGGGTGTGTATTCTCCTGTTTTGCTGTTTTTGTTTTCTTGCACTTAAATTGCTTAACACAGATTTACTCTTTTTGTTTTGTTTTGTTTTGTTTTTTGGTTTTTTTCTCCAGTACCGGGAATCAAACTCACGACCTTGCACTTGCCAGGCAGGCACTGTGCCGCTGAGCTAAATCCCTAGCTCCCAACACAGATTTATTCTTAAGCATTATACTTTTTTATTTGAGGAAGCTTGTTTTGCATGTCCCCCCCACTTTTCCATTCACAAATATCTGTTCTCATCAGATGACTTAGAAGCTGCCTCAGTCTAGCTTTCAGAATTTGTTTCAGAAATACTGATTTTATTGTTTTGTACCGGGAATCGAACTTAGGACCTTGCACTTGCCAGGCAGGTGCTTGTGCTGATGAGCTATATCCCCAGCTTGTTTCAGAAACAGATCTTCCCTTGGCATCTTAAGGTTTTCATTCCATGAGGATATTTCAGTTCTGTTCTCTAAATCAAAGAATGGTGCCCTGCAAGTTTTTAGTTCCACTGTTTTCTTTGCTTCTTTTATTACCAATAATTAGCTCATTTCTAACTGCAACCATAGAGAGCTGTTTGGAGCTTTACTTCATCTTAGTTTACAGGTAAAACATCTTAGTTTACAGGCCTATAGACTGGGTCTATAGGCCTGCTACTTGTGACTGGATTCAGTCTCCTGCCCCATCTCCATTTTTATGCCTTAATTCTCTTTATGGTTTTTATCTGTAAGCCTGTTTCATTTGTAGTATATGGATACCCTGAATCTTATTTGCAGGCATAGCTACATATCTTTAGATTCATTTTTCTCCCATATTTATCACTTCTATGTAGCTGAGAGATTCTATGCATAGAAAGTAAAGAAATTTCCAGATATAGCAACACTGACTTTATCTTCTTGACTGGTAGTCATTTGTACTTCTACTTAAACCAATTTGAGATAGCTGAAAAAGACTCATTCAATACACAATAATCTAGAAAGAAAGAACTTGGCCTTTTAAAATGTATTTCATAGATACTTTAGATCAAGAAAAATTGGCAATTTTTCAGCTTTCAGTAAAATTCAAAGTATATATTATCCCTTAATAAAAAGTTAACATCTAAAAAGTGAGAAGTAATATTTAAAGCTTATTAAGACAAGCTAGGGGCTGGGGATTTAGCTCAGCGGCAAAAAGCGCCTGCCTGGCAAGCGCAAGGTCGTGAGTTCGGTTCCCGGTACCGGAGAAAAACCAAAAA